ACTGCACAGCGAGACCCTGTCTCAAAAAGACAAAGAAAACAAAACAATACAAAGCAGAGAAGAGAGAGATGTTAGGAACCGCTGAAGCTGGAAAGTAATTCCACGTGCAGAACGAAGCCAGCCTAACACGGGAGCCCCAAGAACACGGGAGCTCCTTGAAGCATGTAAACAAGCCATTGCAGCTTGTTAACTGATTGCAGGACAGCGAGGTGAAAATTAACCAGCCTCTTGGCATAAATAGACACTCTACTGCTCTTGGGCAGTTCCCCTTCTCTGCTCAGGACAGAGGGCCTCCACCTGGCTCCAACTTTTGTCTCTTGTCTACTTTTCCCTCATTCTGATGCTTCCCAGGGTACAGCAGGAACCCCATGGATCCCTACAAATCACAAGGTGTAGGCCAGGCTGGGCTCCTTTGTGAAACTGCCTCAAAACAAAACAAAACACTCAAATTGAAATGGTGATTTCCAGCAGCTGGAGAGAGGAGGAAATAGGGAGTGTGTTCAGTGAGTATAGTTTCAGTTTTACAAGACGAAAATGTTCCGGAGATAGGTTTGAAAAAACATGAATCCAATGAACACTACTGCTGTACACTTAAAAACAGTTAAGAGAGCCAGCAGTAGTGGCCCAAGCCTGTAAGCCTTGCACTCTGGGAGGCTGAGGCAGGAGGATGGCTACTTAGTGAGACTGTTTCAAAATAAATAAATAAATAAAATTAAAAATAGGTCGGGGACGTAGCTCAGCACAAAGGCCTTGGGTTCAATTCCCCAGTACCGAAAAAAAAAAAAAAAAGTTAAACTAGGTGTGGTGGTGCTCACCTGTAATCCCAGCACGGGGAGGCTGAGGCAGGAGGATTACCATGAGTCTGAGGCCAGCCTAGGCTACATAGTGAATCCTTGTCAAAAAAAAAAAAAAAAACAAAAGGCATTAAAAAAAGTGAAGAGTTTAAAATTTATATTTTTAACATAATGAAAAATGTAAAATAAGAACAGTTAAGTTAAAAGTTAAGATAGTAAATTTTATTTTTTGCCATAATTTAAAAATAAATATTCGTAGGCGGAGGGCATAGCACAGTGGGAAAGTACTTGCTTAGCATGTGCAAGGCTGGGGGTTCCATCCCAATACTACAAAAAAAAATAAGTAAATAAATAAACACAAACCAACCCTAAACACATACTTAAATAAACGCAGTGGAAGTCTTGGCACCTCTCTTGTTCCCCAGGGTTCTTTTCCTGGAAGGAGGAGAGGGATTCTTTTTGGTCTCCCTGAAGTCTGGCTGCCCTTCAGCTCTACAGGAAAGAACAGTGGAGACCCCATCCTGAAGTCCCCCAAGACCTGCTTCCTGCTTCCCTGCCCAGCACAGCTGCTCTCAAACTTTTTAGCTTTCAAAACAATTGTGAGGCCGGGCCCAGTGGTACAACCTGTAATCCTAGCACTTGGAGGCTGAGGCAGGAGGATCATTGTGAATTCAAGACCAGCCTGGGCTACAAAGTGAGCTCAAGGCCAGTCTGAACTGCATAGGGAGACCCGGTCTCGAAAAGACCAAAAAAAAGTTATTATTTCTTTGTGTTGGAAACACTGAAAATCTGCTCTAGTAGCTATTTGAAATACACAATTAATTGCTGTCAATCATAGTTATTCCACGGTCCTGCGGAATGTGTGATCACTCCTATCCAACCACAGCACTGTACCATTAACACCCTCTCTCCACAACTCCTCTCCCCATGAAATGTAATTTTTGTTGCTTTTTTTT